CTCAAGCCTTGTGAATGTCTCTTCTAAGACTCCTGCTAAATCCCACAAGCCGAAGCAAAGCTCGGCAGGGAAAGATCGCAAGAGATCTGTTTCAGCCCATCCGCCTTCGAAAAAGGCAAAAATGGGCAAAACTAAGTCCTCAAAAGTGCCTCCGAAAAGCACTGGGGCACACACGCCATTGCCGCTGTTGCGTCCGTCGTCAGAGCCGTCATTACACGTGATCGACGTCGACGCAGCTTCAACGTTGACGAACCGTCCGACCTCTCCTCCAACCGCTTCGACGTCGAGGCGTTCGCGGTCGATTTGACGTCGATCTCCGGGCTCTCGACGTCGATGCTTTTCCATGTCGAGCCCAGAAGAGTCCCGTCAACGTCAAACACGCTCCCCAGATCTACCTTCGGGGCAGGAGCCTGACGTCATCAGTCTTCAGTCGTCTCGCAAATCCTCAAGATCTTGCTCTTCCGGCAGCAGGAGAGGAGAGGCCTGTCCATGGGGTTATCCTCCTGATTGGGAACACACTCCCCCATGGTTTTTACCACCTTGGTTCCGTACTCCTCCTACGTCACACAACCCTTGTACCCCACAATGCGCCGCTGACAGTCGCGCAGGTCTATCTAGATCGCGATCCACCGGGCGTCCAAGGTCTCCGGAAAGACAGGAGGACGCTTTGCTATCCCCTTAGTCAAGGGCATTAGAGAAATAACCCATAATAACTGGGCAAGACTGTCTTCGGTCACAGGTTCGGCTAGGAAGGTAGAGAACCTCTACAAGATCATGGAGGACGATGCCTTTTTTCTATACCACCATCTTCAGCCCAATTCAATGGTGGTGGAGGTTATTCCGTCTAAACAGACAGGGCCCCCAAAATCCTCTCCTTTAGACAAGGAAGGTAGAAAACTGGATTTTTTAGGGAGGAAAATCTACACCTCCAGAGCGCTGACCCTAAGGATAGCTAACTTTAAAGCTATCATGTCCAGGTATCAGGTTATGTTATGGGAACAGTTGACCCCATTTTTGAATACCTTGGCTGACGATAAAAGAGACCAAGCCAAACAGGTACAAACCGAGGGCGCTCGGTTAGCCAGACAGGAGCTCAATGCAGCCAGACATTCTGCGGACGCGGCGAGCAAGGTGATTGCTTCTGCCATAGTTCTCCGCAGACATAGTTCTCCGCAGACATTCCTGGCTACGAACCTCTGCCCTACCCCCAGACACGAGAGCTCGTGTCGAGGATCTGCCTTTCGAGGGCAAGCTCCTATTTAGTGAATCAACAGACGAGGTACTAGAGAAAGTGAGGAAGACAAAATTCACTGCTAAATCACTGGGATTAACCTCGCAACAACAACAACCTTCTAAACCAAGGTATTTCCCTAGGCACTTCCAACTCCCTAGTATAGGGAGGGGCTACCGTTTTCAACCACTGCCTCTCAACCTTTCAGAGGCGCATTTCAACAAGCATACCCATCTAAGCGTCAACAACCCAGACAGCGTGGTATGCAGTCTCGCTCCCCTAGGGGAGGTTTCTCCTGACCTAGGAATTCTCAATGAGAATTTCCCCCTCTCTTCAGAGCACGTTTAGCAAAATTTCACCACCGTTAGTCTATGATATGTTCAGATGCTTGGGTGTTACAGATAATAAAAGTTGGTTACTTTCTTGAGTTCAAATACAACCCACCTGTGTCCTTTGAGGTTCCCACCTCACGTAGACAAGATGAGACCTTGAGCACGGAGATTCAAACACTTTTACTTAAAGGTGCCCTAGAGGTAGTCCCTGGTGATGAGGGGGAATGTGGTTTTTATTCTAATTATTTCCTGATTAAGAAAAAGAATGGTGGATTTAGACCCATCTTGGATCTCAGAGAATTGAATATTTATTTGCATGTTTGAAAGTTCCGCATGCTCTTGTTAGAGCAGGTTTACCACGCCATAGCCCCCAGATCCTGGTTTGCCGTCCTCGACCTCCAGGACGTATATTTTCATATAGTTATCCATGAGGACTGTAAGAAATACCTCAGATTTCGATTCAATGGTAACGTTTACCAATACGGTGTCTTACCATTTGGTTTGGCAACAGCACCCAGGGTATTTAGTAAATGCTTCTCTACAGTAGTGGCCTACCTTAGACTCCACGGATGCGCGGTATACGCGTAGTTGGATGATTGGTTGCTGATGTCTAAATCCAAGCAGCTACTCCTTGAACACATTCAATTCACACTGCAAACTCTACAGTGGCTGGGTATTGTCATTAACTTTTCAAAGTCTAAACTTACACCTGCTCAGTTTTTACTGTTCATAGGGGCGAAGTTGGACTCAATAGCTCACAGAGCCTTTTTACCCACTGATAGAATCAGGGCCATTCAATCCTTGGTCAGGAGATTTCTCCGCAAACGGTGTCAGAGAGCCTTGCACATACAAAGGCTGCTAGGCCTTATGGCTTCCACGACCACTACGGTCACTTATGCCAGGCTACGTATGAGACCGTTGCAAAATTGGTTTCTAAGGAATTTCACCTCTGAGTCAGACTCCCAATGGAAGTTTCTGTCCATCCCACGTCTGATCCTGAATTCACTTGAATGGTGGATACAAGGGGGCAATTTGTCATGGGGGTTCCCTTTGGCACCCAGACTACCTGACATGCAGGTCTTCACAGATGCGTCATTAGAGGGATGGGGAGCACACTGTGGAACTAGACAATGTATCGACGGGAAAGACTATTCAGCTAGCTACAGACAATACTGTCTCAAAATTTCATTGTGCAAAGAGGCCTCACTCATATGGGAGACATTGATTCGACAGAATTCTCACCTGATAGCCATACAAAATACCCCAGCGGATATATTGAGCAGAAGGGCCCTGATGGCCCACGAGTGGTCCATCCCTCTCAGATACCTGGACCCTATATTTCAAGTGTGGGGTTTTCCAGAGATAGACCTTTTGCGTCCACCACAAACATCAGGTGCCCTCTGTTCTGCGCAAGGTCACAGAGACAAGGAAACTGTCTAGGAGACGCATTTCTCCGCAGATGGTCAGGCAACCTTTTCTATGCCTTCCTACCTTTTCCTCTATTGCCGAGGGTACTGGCAAAGCTACGCCAGGACGGCTCCAGGTGCATTTTAATAGCCCCACTATGGCCTCGATGCCCCTGGTTCCCGTTGCTGCTATCCCTAGCACGACACAGGTTTTCCCCTCTACCAAGGGTGCCAGATTTGCTTCAGATCGGTCGAGCTTGTCACCCAGACCTGCACAGACTGGACCTACATGCATGGTTCATTTCAACGTAAACAAATGTTTGGACCGGGTAGCAGAGGTCCTCCTAGCTTCCCGAAAACCATCGACATGGAAGTCCTATAGGGCCAAATGGCACAAATTCACGATTTGGGCGCAGGACTGCAAGATACGTCCTGACTCTTGCCCTTTGATGGAGATACTAGAATACCTTCTGACGCTACTAGATAATGGGCTCTCCCCTTCGTCTATTAAGGTGCACTTTGCAGCCATTTCGGCGTTTCATTTGGGGATTGATTCTAAGCCCATATTCTCTAATGCGATATCTAAACGCTTCTTGAAAGGGTTATGCAATAAATTCCCTAGGGTCATTCCTCCCCTTCCTCAATGGAGTCTTACGGTAGTACTAGCTCAGCTAGTAAAGGCTCCATTTGAACCACTGGCATCTAGCCACTTGGCTTTGGTGTCGTCTAAGGTTGTTTTTCTTGTGGCGATTACTTCCACTCGTAGAGTCGGAGAACTACAAGCTCTTCGAGCAGACCCTCCATTTTTAAAGTTCCACCCCGATAAGGTGGTCCTAAGACCAAGTTTGGAATTTAGGCCAAAGATACTCACCACTTTCCATGCTTCACAGGATATAATCCTCCCTGTGTTCTTCCCCAATCCAACTTCTATACCAGACAGAGAACTACACAAGTTGGATTTAAGGAGAGCTTTATTGTTTTATTTAAAGCGCACAGCCCCGTTTAGACAGTCTGCTCAATTGTTTGTCTGTTTTACCAGACCCAAGAAGGGCCGAGCTGCTTCGGCTCAATCCATCTCCAGATGGGTAACCTCGGCCGTTCGCAACAACTACGACTCAGCAGGTATGACGTGCCCGTTTCCAATTTGGGCACATTCCACACGGGCACAGGCCGCTTCGGCTGCTTTTTCTGCGTCTATGAACATTACAGACATCTGTAAGGCAGCGACATGGTCGTCACCTCTGACATTCTTAAAACATTATGCAGTTGATGTTGACTCTCAACCTGATGCTTCTGTGGGTATGGCAGTGTTACAATCGTTAGTTAAATAAACGTTTTCGCCCACACCCGCCTCCGAGTCATATGTAGCTTGCTAGACTCCCATGTGGGACTGCACAGAAGACACGATGATGAAAACATGGTTGCACTTACCTGTAACTGATGTTCATTGAGTGTCTTCTGTGCTGGCACACATCCCTCCCTCCTTCCCTGCTGTGGACGAGTAATCTATTTTCCCATGGCGGCAGGATAGGACTGAGAGAGAGAGGTGCCCCCCCTCCCCTCGTCACGTGACCAAATGGCGGGAAATGGCTCATTTCACAATTCTTTCCTTCTCTCCGAGGGGAGGGGGGACTCAATGCTCTAGAACATTGAGGAAGCTCTTGGAATGTTCTTCCGCAGCAGGCCTGCCTTCAGGCAGTCCCATGTGTGCCAGCACAGAAGACACTCGATGAACATCAGTTACAGGTAAGTGCAACCATGTTATGTATGATACTTTGGTCAGCAAAGGTGGAGGAATGGCATGTGTGTATGTGTGTGATGTGGACTGTGAAGGGGCAAAGCTGCATGAGTTTGAAGAGGCAATGAGGTACTTGGGAGAAAGCTGGCCCCTTCATAAGGGGCTCTGATCCCACCCATTGCTTTGTCGGGTTGGCTTTTTGAGGCTTGCCGGAGGCTTCTGGTGTCCCTCATGGATGCCTCAGTGAAGCGCACCTGGCAGCTCACTTTCCTTCCTGTTCCTTTTCCCCTCAGGCCGAGTATGTCGGGCCTCCACCTCATGAAGCAAGGCCGAGACAGGAAGAAGGTCGACCTCCAGAGGGACTTCACGGTTGCGTCTCCAGCAGAGTTCGTCACGCGTTTCGGGGGGAACAAAGTTATTGAGAAGGTGAGCTTGGGAACCTTTTTAAAAAATAGACCGAGCTTGAAGAAAGCTCAGCTTATTTTCTTTAATAGGGTTCAGAAGTGAGACATGTGAGGAACACGTTTAAAAATGTATAACCATAGGATGCTCATTCGCTTGGCAATGAATCAAACTCTGGTTCAGCTGCAAGTACACTGCACTGCATGCTGCCCCCCCCATTTGAAGTGTCACATGAACATTTATCAGTTTATAGTAGGAACAGGCAATCTTTCTGACCCGCATGCCTAAAAGCCAGTGTTAATCACTGCAAATAATGGAATGCAGACAAACTGAGGGCCAAAGAGATGGGCATCTCTGGGGAGACACCATCATTTTAAAAGAGTGAATTCCTGCCTGCGACCTCATTTGCACTGCCCTGTGGGGGTCCGATTCAGGGCCACTGTGCTCCAGGTGGGAGGGGATCCTGCCTTCCCCCAGTGCCAGTTTTCCAACCTGAAATGGTGTGAAGGTGTGTTGTTTTGCCAGCTTGTCCCCCTCAGTGCCCTTGCAGGCTGGAAAAATGGCACCGGGGGGGGGGCAGGGTCCCTTCCCCCCTCCCCCAACACCATAGTTGTCCTGGCCAGAATTGCCCCCCCCCCCCTGGCACAGTTTAAAGGAGTTCCTGGGTGGGAACTCCTTCTTTAAAATGGCAGTGTGAAACCAGGGACGGAATAGCATCTAGTTTGGCCCTTAGTGAGTGCAGGAGGGCGGGGGTTGTATGTGGGCAGGCACACTGGAATTACGCTACGCCGAGCCCCACCGCCAAGCATCTTAGGGGCTCACCTCAGACCTGGCTGTTGGCTGTATTGGATTCAGGAGGCAGTGACAGACAGAAACCGTGTCTGTCACCTTCTCCCACGTTGCCCCATTAGTGCAGCTGTCAGTACCTCAGGGACTTGTGCTTTGGTTAAAAGGTAAAGGTAAAGGTTCCCTTGCTTGAAAGCCAGTCGAATCCGACTCTAGGGTTGCGGTGCTCATCTCCGTTTCAAAGCCGAAGAGCCAGCGCTGTCCGAAGACGTTTCCGTGGTCATGTGGCCGGCATGACTAAACACCAAGGCGCACGGAACGCTGTTACCTTCCCACCGAAGTGGTACCTATTTATCTACTTGCAATTTCTTGCTTTCGAACTGCTAGGTGGGCAGGAGCTGGAACTAGAGACCGGAGCTCACTCCATCATGCGGCACCCGGGTCTTTAACTACTGAACTACTGACCTTCCACAGCCTGCAGTTCAGCGTCTTAACCACTTGAGCAACCACAGCTCCTATGCTTTTGTTACACGGGTATATTTATTTAGACCATTTTTATGCTGCCGTTCTATCCGGTCAGGTTCCGCAAGGTGGCAAATGTTAAAAAACACACACACAAAAACCCTAAAACAATTGAACAATTAAAAGCACATTTAAAATAATAAAATAATTCAATAAAACATTAAATAATTTGATAAAAACACAACAGACAGAGAACCAGGCCTGTAGCCCACCATTTTGCCCTTTCAGCAATAGTTCCAGGAACTGCTCATCTCTGGTTTATATGATTCGGAGTTGACTTCCTCCATAAATCCTGGGTGGGTTTTTTTTTTGACACTTTGGGAAACCAGATTTATTCATTACATTTACATGCAATCCAAAATGGGAAGAAATAAAAAAATTGAAGAATACCAGCAACCACAATACAGACCAGACATTATAGTGTGGGTTTCCATGAAAAGGTAAAATAAATGATTAAACTGTTAAAGTGTACACATTTTTGGGCAAACTACCTCTATTTTTAAAAATTCTGTACTTAATATTAAGTTAATAGAAAAGAGCAATCCAAAAGTAAAACTATTATAACATTATTGACCAGTAGATACCCCCAGAAAACCTAGGCTAATCCTAAATTTTTGTACAATTTTTGTACACCCACATAACAACTCATATTGATACATGCTTACAATAACCTTACAATTTTAACCAGATTCTATAATCATTTCTACACGGAAGAACTTAATTCTGTCTGTCTCAGAAACCAATAACTGGCTTCCACATTTCATCATAATCACAGAGTGAAAAAGACAACTGGGAACCAACAAAGAAAAAATTGTTTACTGTTTTCCCCATGACATAAACATCCCAAAGTTTGTCGAACCAGGCATCTATGGAAGGCCCATTTGGGTTTTTTCAATTGGCTGCAATCACCTGTCATGCAGCTGCAATCAATATCGAGACCAAGGAACGTTGATTCTTTTCCATTGAATAAGCCAGCCATAAATCAAAAATAAAAAGGTCTGGAGACATAGTGAGAGAAATGTCTACCATTTGTGAGATCTTGTTAGCAACTATGCCCCAAAAGGATTGAATCACTGGACAAGAGCACCACAGATGTAAGGGGGAGCCTCACTGATTACATCCTTTCCAGCAAAGCGGGCTATAAGAGGATCCAATTTTATTAAATTTGGTTGGGCACAGATACCAATTAGAGATTGTCTTATAGGATTGAAGCTTTAAAGGAACTATATATAATTTGTTAGAAGGGGAGTTCCATATTTTCTGCCATTCTTCAGGAATTAAATTCCATTTTAATTCTTTCTCCCAAACCTTAGTAAAAGTAGGGGGTTTGTTTATTGTGTCTTGGAGGTTCTTATAAATTTTAGACAGTAAACCTTTGGTTTCTTCCTCTGTGTTTCTGAGAATTTCTTCAAACCCTGTTAACAGCCAAAGAAGATGACCATATTTTTTTAACTGCGTTATTAAATTTTGGATTTGGGAGTACTGAAACCAGTTAATTTGATGGCCTAATTTGTCCTCTACCATATTTTTAGAAATAATACTGCTATTCAATATCCAGGCACAAGGCCTGTCTAAACCAGTCCTCATCCATTCCTGGTATCGAAAGGGTTCCAACCAGGGGGAAACCACTGTTGATTTAAAATAGTTTATTTATTTATTTGATTAGGCAGTCCCTTAGGTATGCCGGACCCTGACCATAGAGGGCTTTAAAGGTCAAAACCAGCACCTTGAAGTGAATCCGGTATGCTATTGGCAGCCAGTGCAGTGCTTTCAACATAGGCTGGATGTGTTCCCGTATAGGAGAGGGATGAGGAGCTGAGATTTTTCAGTAATTATCCCAAATTCTTATAGTATTATAGAGGAAGGGATTCACCAGGATTGAATAAGATCTAAATTTCTGTGTTGTTCAGATAGTTCCTTTCAATGTCAAGGAGTTGACAAAAACCTCCTCTATAGAAACCCATTTTTCATATGGGGAGGTATGTAACAACTGGACGAACTGTGCGAAATTTGAGATCCTGTTTTGTTGGGAAGGATGCTAACTTGCACAAGTACTACATCTGGTCCTCACAGAAAACTTGGTGTTTGAGTGCTGATTCTCAGATTATGGAGTCTACTGACTGACCCTGGGGCCCCCACCCTGTGTCCTGTGTCCTAATCATACGTGAGATGCAGGTTTTCTGCACATGCATGATTCAGATCACACCTGTGGCTCATGTGGAGAAGGGATTTCATCCCCTGCCCCCTTTTTCGGACTTAAACTTGTCTTGGGGGCCTGCTTTTGTTCTGTTTGGAAAATACACATGTACGCTTGTGATTTCCTCCAAAAGCCAGATAAGACCATCCTCCAGTGACCATTTCATGTCAGGAAAACTGTACAGAGGAAAAGTAGAAGCTGCTTCTCCACAGTCACAATCTGAATTGGGCTTCACATGTCAGGGAATGGAGGACAATCTGTAACTCGTGTGGTTGTTACACAGGGTAGGGAACCCCGATTCAACCTGTGTGCTCCGTAATTTGTGAATCAGCCACCTGAAGTGCCCAAACCTGAAAGCCTTCAGTCATGACCTCCATGGGAAGGAATCATGGGGCAGAAAAAGTTGCAAGTGGGGGGGGGGGACCCTGCAGGTTGGGGGGGGGGAAGTTAACAAAGTTGTTGCCCCCCCCCCCCCCCCCCCACGCGCCAATTGTTAGGTTAATGGTGCATCCACAGCCGAGAGACAGGGAACATTCAGAACTTCTGGCTCCTGCAGATTTTTCCCTTCTGCCTCCAACCTGTCTGTCTGGTTTTTGGAGGGGCAGCTTGGGATGCCTCTGCTCTTGTATTGCAAGCATTTACTGCCCCAATCCGTGGGTCCTCGTGCAGGCTGCAGAGGAAGCACAATGTTTGTGCCTGCCTGAAGATGAGAGAGAGCTGCTGTTTTTTCTTGTTCTTGGAGTTGTCGTTTGGAGGGTAGACTAAGTTTAGAAACTCTGTAGAGGTGGCTGGGTTAATACACTGGCTTAGATTGAATGTGTAAAAGATTACTCTGTCCTGGTTGTACCTTGTCCAGGTTCTTATTGCCAATAATGGAATCGCAGCGGTGAAATGCATGAGGTCCATCCGGCGCTGGTCCTACGAGATGTTTCGGAACGAGCGAGCAATCCGCTTTGTTGTCATGGTAACTCCTGAAGACTTGAAAGCCAATGCAGGTGAGTCTTGAAAGACCAGCTTTTGGACCTACTTCTGTCTGGATTTTTGCAGCAGGTCATTCTTCTTGACAATTACAGTGCTTCATGGATGATAATTGACTATGGACATTTGCAGCCCCAGGGCTTCCCTTGTTGTTGTTTGGCTTGTGTTGTGGCTCTGTTCTTGGCAACAGTTGTGTGATACAGACTACTGTTTCCAAATTATGTAGATGGGGAAGGAGTCCATGGATTTTGTATGGCTTTAGCTGCCTTCCAAAATTTGCTTTAGTTGAAGGCCCTAGTTAGGGAGAGGACAAGTCTTATCTACAAAGCCACACTAATAGGTTTGTAATGTGGCTAGGGCTAGATAAATTCATTTAAAAAAAAAATCAATTTGAAAAGCTATGCACAGATAATTGGCCAGCAGATTTAAATAGATTCTAAAAGGTATTATTGTCACATTTTCCCTGAAAACCATGGAAGACAGACAGCATCTTAGAAGAGGCATTCCCTTCATTTTCCACGATGGGTAGAATGCCTCTTTTGAGTAGGTACCTGATATAATTGTGTGCCAACATCATAGAGAAACTAAGGCCTGGTACTGACTGTGGAGTGGGCCTCTATCCTTGTGGTGGTGGTGACTTGTCAGGATCACGTTAGAGACTCTCAGAAAGTAGCAAGGCAGTTTGCTATTTTTGGAGTGCCTCCAAGACCCACAGAGAACTCAGGTACACCCGTTAACCTTCCCCAAAGCCTGGAAAAAATGCTGATGTTTCTCTGGCCAGCTTAAGACATGCTCAGGAGTGGCCAAGTACATTCATTCCTTGCTCGAGATCATGCCATGGATAGAGCTGGATGACTGAGGGAGCCACATGGTGGTTGTTTATGAGTTTTGACTTGTAGCTTGGGGACTGCATTGGACAAAGGCTTCCCCTGTAGCCTCCCACAGCTTGCATAATCTCAGTGTCGCCTCCCCTTTACCTGGGAGGTAGCAGTTGTAGCAGTTGCCTTACAGAGCTGAGTAGGCCAAAAGAGGTCCTTACATCCAAGGTCTTTGCTGTGTGGAATAGATTATTAGGGGTTCAGCGGGAAGAGGAGAGAGGGAGAGAGAGACAAGCCATGTGGTTGAGGGTGTTGTCCTGTAGCTTTTGCAGGTTGCTGTGAGCTCTCTGCAGCCTGATTGACATGCACAAGAGAACAAGGTGGCAGAATTATCAGACTACAGATAAAGGATCACATTTTGGAATGTACTGCTGTGTTTAAAAACTCCCTGCAAACAGAAAATTAGAGATGGGTGGAAGCTTTTTACCTTGATGCACTACTTTTCTCTTTGGAGGGAGTTCTTCTTTAACTATAAAGATGCATTTCAGAAGTGGACTACTCCACCACCTTCATACCGCTGTGGTACAATCCATGCTACCACTTCAGTATTCTGCTACCACATTTCCCCCTATGTGTGGGTTGGCCCTGAGTCTATAAGCAGTGGTTGGATTTGAGGCTGTGTTTCCCAGTTCCAAATCCAACTCTTATTCCATTAGACCATGTGCTTCCCCACCAGTAATGCAGGCACATCAAGTTTTCTACTGACTCAGAAGCTTAACTCTCTATGTGGAGAAGGGCAAGAATTTTACCCATGCTCAGAGGCACTCTAGCCTTTCTGAAGGAGTACCCTTTTCTTTAGCCTTTCTGCATCTTTCTGTGTGGATGCTGCTATTTCTGGTTCTCTGTGGTGCTTCTGTAAAAGTCCAGCTGCCATTTGACAGAGATTAGGTAAAGGTTTCTCTTGCTCAAAAGCCAGTTGGATCTGACTCTAGGGGGCGGTGCTCATCTCCGTTTCCAAGCCGAAGAGCCAGTGCTGTCTGAAGACATTTCTGTGGTTATGTGGCCGCGTGATTAAATACTGAGGTGCACGGAACGCTGTTCCCTTCCCACCGAAGCGGTACCTATTTGTCTACTTGCAATTTCTTGCTTTTGAAAAGAGATTAGCTGGGCCTAAACCTGGTGGGCAACCAAGTATACTTCATTGGGCCAGGAGTTCGTGCAAAGGGGGGGGGGAGTCTTGATCTACTTTATGTTATTTAAGGAGCAAAATAGAAAAATATAATTTTCTTGGTTTGAGGTTGATAGGGTTGACAGGGAAGTGATGTTATGTGATGTGCCTGTGTCATAGGGTTTGGACGGCATCGGTACTGTCAGGTGTCACTCTGGGTTTTGGGTAAAACTCTGGTAAAATCAGCCTTAAACCATAGAGTTTTACCCCCAAACCAGAGCATCATCCCCCCAAAGTCACCGATGTGCCTGTGTCACTTCCGGGTGATATAGGCACGTCACATTTCTGGCACTGTCGCTGTTTGGGGTGGGAATTTCCTCCTGCTGGCTGGCAGTGGGCAGAAGGCCACAAAACCAGGGAATCCCCCACCCCCAACTGGAGAATGGCAACCCTGCTGTCATCCATTTGTACCAGACACTGTGGAGGGAGAACTAACAAGCATCAGTTCAGAGATTCAAACATATAGCAAAATCGTGAGACGATCCTTTCTGCATTGCACCGTTTCAGAGTACAGATGATGTTAGGGATAAAGCGCAGCAGCTGAATGCTTTTCTTTCTTTCTTTAAACATTTATTCCCCACGTTTCTTCCTTACTGAGCTCAAAGCAGCTCACAACACAGATACAACTCATAAAATATGCATTAGAAGTGTAAAACCCAAAATTTAAAACCACAATTCAGGACTGCTAGTAAATGTAACCAAACGTGGTACTAAATAAAACTGTCTTCGGCTCCCTCCTAAACAGGGAAAGTGAGGAGGGGGCCAGGCGCACCTCCCTGGGGAGGTTTTTCCATAATTGCAGGGCTGCCACCAAAAAGACAGAGTTTTGTTTCTAAATTCCCTTGTGGGCTGAAGGCTAGCTCTTCAGGCTTCCGCGCGTGGCATTAGGGTTGCCAGGTCCCCTCGTCGCTTTGGGGTGGGATTTGGGGGGCATTCCGAGGGTGGGCGGAATGTTACGCAATGTCTCCAACGCAGTGTCCTCACCTGGAAGTGATGTCATCACATCAGGTACGCTCTGGTATTTGGGCAAAACTCTATGGTTTTTTCACCATCAAACCATAGATTTTGCCCAAATACCAGAGCATCCCTGCACGATGTCCCCAACATGATGACATCACTCCTGGATGACGTCATTGCGTGGCAATATCCCTGTTAAGAAGAAGAAGAAGGGATTGGATTTATACCCTGCCCTTCACTTGGAGTCTCAGAGCGGCGTACAAACTCCTTTCCCTTCCCCTCCCCACAACAGACACCCTGTGAGGTAGGTGGGGCTGAGAGAGCTCTGATAGAAACGGCTCTTTTTCAAGAACAGCTCTTATCAGAACTATGGATTGCCCAAGGTCATCCAGCCAGGTGCAAGTGGAGGAGTGGGGAATCAAACCCGGTTCTCCCAGATTAGAGTCCGCGCACTTTACCACTACACCAAACTGGCTCTCTTTAGTGGTGGGGTTCACCCCTCTGGCCAGGTGTTCTGCAGCAGGAAGAAGCCCCTGAAACCGGATCCCCTGAAACCGGATCCCCCACCTGGATCTGGGGCTGGTAAGCCTGCATGGTGTGCTAGCATGCTGGGCTGGATACTTTGGGTACTTTCCTGTGGAATTCTGTGTGTAATTCTCCTCCTGCCTCCTGAAGTGGCATAATCCTGTGAAGGGTGGCGGCGGCGGCAGCAACACTGATCTTCCCCCCCCCCTGCACAGATGAGACTATAGTGAGTAACAGTTACTCATCAAGTGTGTGGCCGAACAGTTTTGAAAGATCTTGTGCTTATCTCTGTAAACAAGGCCTTTTGTCAGCCAGTCCCTTCACCTCATTGTTCTGTGTGGCGTGTGGCACTCCCACGTTCCGAATTCAGTTTCCCTCCGCGCAGTCCTTGTCTCTCTGTCTGTTTTTCCACTCATACCTTCAAGTTTCCTTCAGGCATTTCTGTGTGCTGTTATGGGAAGGGCTTGTGCTCTTGAGGTGAGAGGTATTAAAGGGCACTAAGACTATAGGGCTTGGGTCCTGTGACTCTCTTCTGTTAAGTCTTCCTCTGAGGGAGCAAGTGGCTGGTTTCGCTTCCTGTGGTGGCCGTTTCATGGCTGCGCCCACCACTCTGAGTTAGGGATGCCACCTTCCAGGTGGGACCTGGGGATCCCCTGGAATTACACCTCATCTCCAATGGCAGAGACCAGTTCCCCTAGAGAAAATGGATGCTTGGAGGGTAGACTCTGTGGCATAGCATTCCTGTGAGGTCCCTGTCCTCCACAGGCTCTATCCCAAATCTCCAGGCGTTTCCCAACCTGGTGGCAACCAATGCTCCCTCTAACCTGTGGAGTCTTGTGAGCAAAAGTTATACTTTGTGAGCTACTGGCAATAAAGTTGTGAGCAAGCGATTTGGCTGCTGCATACATTAGTTTGCTCTGGCGCCCTCCTTCCTGAGCTAAGACCAAAATATGTGAGCTGGAGGCTAAAAAACTGGGAGCCAGCTCACATGAACTCAGCTTAGAGGGAACACTGGTGGCAACCCTCCCCCTCCATCCCCCGCTGGTGGCTAGGGGGGACCGGGCACCCCTACTCTGAGTCAGTAGAAAAGAGCAAGAGTCCAGTACAATGTTCCCTCTAAGCTGTGGAGTCTTGTGAGCAAAAATTCTACTTTGTGAGCTACTGGCATTAACGTTGTGAGCAAGCAATTTGGCTGCTGCATAAATTAAGTTTGTTCTGGAGCCATCCTTCCTGAGCTAAGACAGAAATGTGTGAGCCAGAGGCTAAAAAACTTTGAGCTAGCTCACACTAACTCAGCTTAGAGGAAACACTGGTCCAGGTGCACCTTAAAGATTAACAACATTTGTGGCTTTCGTGAGTCAGAATCCTTCCAAAGGTGCCTGCAGGCTCAAGAAGATTGGGGACTACTGCTCTAAGTGTATGTGACCAAATAACACAAGAAGCCTCATCTCTTCCACTTCCCATTTTGTTTGCTAGCACATCTTAACAAGTAGTCTTGTTGTTTTTTCCAGTCCTTGGGCCCAAATAGGTGGCCTACCCCTGGGCCAGAGTGCTGGACTGGAGAAACCTGGGTCCAAAACCCCACTTTTTGGGGGGCTCTGTGGCTGACTTTTCCCCAGTTACTCTTTGAACCTACCCTACATTGCAGGGGGGGTTGTGAGCAGTGTTCCCTCTAAGCTGAGTTAGTGTGAGCAAGCTCACAGATTTTTGTTTTAGCTCAAGAAGGATGGCTCCCGAGCAAACTAATCTATATGGTAGCCAAATTGCTCACTCACAGCTTTCATGCCAGTAGCTCACAAAGTAGAACCTTTGTTCACAAGACTCCACAGCTTAGTGGGAGCATTGGTTGTGCGGATAAAATGGATGAGGCCAGAGCCTTTCATAAGAACATAAGAATATAAGAGAAGCCAATGTTGGATCAGGCCAATGGCCCATTTAGTCCAACACTCTGTCACACAAATACCAGGTGACATCAGGAGGTCCAGCAGTGGGCAGTGTTTCCTCTAAGCTGTGGAGTCTTGTGAGCAAAAATTCTACTCTGTGAGCTACTGGCATTAAAGCTGTGAGCAAGTGATTTGGCTACTGCATAAATCAGTTTGCTCTGGAGCCATCCTTCCTGAGCGAGGTAAAAAATGTGTGAGCCAGAGGATAAAAACCTGTGAGCTAGCTCACACTAACTCAGCTTAGAGGGAACATTGGCAGTGGGGCCAGGACACTAGAAGCCCTCCCACTGTTGCCCCCCCCAAGCACCAAGAATACAGAGCATCACTTGCCCTAGACTGAGAGTCCCTATCTATACCTTGTGACTAATAGCCACTGATGGACTTCTGCTCCATATGCTTATCTAATTCCCGCTTGAAGCCGTCCATGCTTGTAGCTGCCGCCACCTCCTGTGGCAGTGAATTCCTTTTGTTAATCACTCTTTGGGTGAAGAAGTACTTCCTTTATCTGTTCCAATGTCATTAAGTGCCCACGAGTTCTTGTATTGTGAGAGCCGTGACCACTTCCCTAAGCCCCTTGGAGTAATGGTGAGATTTTTTAAAAAAATGATTATAATCATAGCAGCGCTATAGTTTTAAAAATATTTGTATTTCACCTTTCAGTGAGTATATAAGTCTGCAAGGCTAACAAAGCTAAATGAAGCAAGCTGCAGCAATTAAAACTATAAAAATACACGGGAAAATAAATCACAGCAATGCAACAGAAACAACTTAAAAGTAGAAGAGGCCAAAACCAAATACTCCTCCCTGGGGTCCCCCAAAAGCTCTCCTAGAGAACAATATTTAACTTGGTGCCTGAAGGCCCTCACGGAAAGAGCAGAGTAAATTTTTTTTTAAAGAGTTCCACCTTCCCAGTGCCATTGTTGAAAAGGCCAGTTAAAGCAGGACAGCAAGAATGTGAGGAGTTCCTTCCATCTGCTTTCCCTCCAGTCAGGGAAGCGTGAAGCACTGTGTCACCCCTTAGTGCAGTGATGGCGAACCTTTGAGAGACCGAGTGCCCAAACTGCGACCCAAAACCCACTTATTTATCGCAAAGTGCCAACACTGCAATTTAACCTGAATACTGAGGTTTTACTTTAGAAAAAATGACTCATACATTAACTTAAGATGATCCAAACAAAGTAAGGAAAGCAATCCCAAATGCTTTCATTTACTTAAAATTATTTGGCAGAGAATTCGACACTTTAATGATGGTCTGGGCCTGGGTGGGGCGATGGCACGCGTGCCCACAGAGAGGGCTCTGAGTGCCACCTCTGGCACCCGTGCCATAGGTTCGCCACCACTGCCTTAGTGGGTTTCCTCTGCCATCATCTCACACAGCCAATCTTCCCTGCTCCTCCCAGCCAATCTTCCCTGGTTTATTGTTTAAAAAAAAATAGGCAGTGAGGGCGGGGTACAAATTTGAAGAAATAAATAAATTAAATAAATACATACACATACAGAGAGAGAGAGAGAGAATTGTATTTATAAATTGTTGTTAACTGCCCTGAAGCCCATTGGGGAGAGGGTGGTATATAAATCAAATAAATAATAATAATGTTATTATTAAATTCCATTTAGCCCCCACCATCTTTAAAACTGCATGCACATTATCTTACCTCATTCCTCTAAGGTCAGGGACAGAGGGTTGCACTGGGGGAGAATGTGTCCTCCAGATACCCCTTAGCATGTGGGGTCCCTTGGGGGACATGTCTCTCCTCAATATTGTTTAACATCTACATGCACCCCCTTGCCCAGCTAGCACGGATCTTCGGGTTGGGGTGTCATCAGTATGTTGATGAGTCATCAGTATGTTGATGACACCCAGCTGTATCTGTTATTGGACGGCCACCCAGATTGCACCCCATGATACTCTGGTCCTGGGTTTGGAGGCCGTGGTTGGGTGGCTGAAGCAGAGTGGGTTGAAACTGAATCTAGCAAAGACGGAGGTTCTGTGGCTGGGGAGGGGAACTTCAGAATTGTCCACTCTTGACGGGGCACTACTGACACCGGCGCAATCTGTCAAGAGTCTGGGAGTGATTCTGGACTCCTCCTCGAATATGGCGGCTCAGGTCATGCACATCACCAGACTAGGCATTCTTTAATCTACGGCAGGCTTGGCAATTGGCTCCCTTCCTGTTGCGCCCCGACCTAGCCACGGTAATCCATGCAACGGTCACCTCCAGGCCAGATTACTGCAACTCACTTAACGCTGGCCTGCCCTTGAAACTGACCCGGAAGCTCCAACTGATCCAGAGCACGGCGGTGCGAATCCCGCAGACGGCACATATACATCCAGTGCTGCGCCAGTTACACTGGCTTTCAGTGGAATACTGAGTCAAGTTCAAGGTTTTGTTATTGACCTACAGGGCCTTGAGCGGTCAGGGACTGAATTACCCATGGGACCGTCTCCTCCATTATGTCCCTGGGAGAGCGTTACGCTCTTCAGATAACAACTTGCTGGTGATCCCTGTCCCCAAAGCCATCCGGCTGTCCTCGACCAAGGCCAGGGCCTTTTTGGTCCTGGCTCCGACCTGGTGGAACTCTCTGCCAAATGCCATCAGGGCCCTGCAGAACCATATGCAGTTCCTCAGGGTAGGAACCATATGCAGTTCCTCAGGAACCATATGCAGTTCCTCTAAGGTAGAGATATTCCGCCAGGCCTTTGGTTGAGGACAGCAAGGGTTTCCATCATGGCTGGCACCCTTTCTGCTCCAGTTGCTTCTCATATCTGCTTTGCCCTCCTCTTCCCTGCCCACGAGGCGGCCAGCAGCCTGAAATGGGACCAATCAATATATGCCATCCTCTTGTCTGAAATATGTTACTGATGTTTCAATTACTTCATCTTGATGTTTTTATGAATGATGTACAGCACCAAGAGCCCTGCATTACAGGGGTTGTGCAATTGACACATTAAATAAATAAATAAATAAATAAATAGTCAATGATGTATTTCTTCTCTTGATTTTCAGAGTATATCAAAATGGCAGATCATTATGTTCCAGTGCCAGGAGGCCCAAATAACAACAACTATGCAAATGTGGAGCTGATTCTGGATATTGCAAAGCGGATCCCAGTGCAGGTGAGACGGGCACAGAAGTCTGAGTTCGAAGACGGAAGAAAAGGGGTTACATGTGCATCTATACTATGTTTACGGGCGTGGATTTTGTGGTGTTGATAACTAAGCCTCTGGCAGTGACCGCCTGAGCTGCCCTGATGTCACAGGGTCTTTTAGACATTTCGCCAATGGCAGCAAGATCCTCAAGTGGGGACCAGGCAGGGAGAGGCAATTACAGAAATAAGGGATGAGTGGGTGGAGACAAGGAAGGCCTTGTTTTTGATTGTGTGATAATGGGGAAGGGCAATGAGGAGTGTGTGTGTTTTAAATAAATTTTTACTTAACACTTCTGGCTATACCGCTGCTATTAAAGGGGTCTTAGAATGTTTAGTATTTAATGTTGTTTTTGGACACCACTGCTTACCCTTGAAGGTAAAACACTATTTACTTATACCACGGTAGCTTGGTTTCTCCTGTGCATAGGGTACACAGACGTTAGGACCAACAGATATAAGACCCAAATAATTCCTATTTTAAGAGTAATAGAAATATTTGACATGACATTGGTTGTGCAGCTACACCTTTCTCACTGTTTTCTTTAGTGCAGCTGCAATTAATGGAGGTGGCGGTCCCTGTTCTGCTTCTCCTTGTGACAGTATTCAAATCGCTAGTTTCCTTTTCTCTTGCATCTGCCCCAAACCTACAGTCACAAAGTCTTGCTTCCATTGATGTGAACTCTTTTGGATGAAGCGAGAGAAGTAGCATTGTTTAGGTCAGGGGAAACTAAACTACAGTTCATGGGCTGCTGCTGGCCCCTTTCCATCTGGTCCTCAAGAGGAGGGGGTGGAGCCAGGATGATATCAAACTAGGATCTAGGAGACCAAGATTCAAACCTCCATTTCTACCGCTGAAGCTTGCTGGGTGACCCTGGAATATAAGAGAACATAAGAGAAGCCATGTTGGATCAAACTAATGGCCCATCGAGTCCAACACTCTGTGTCACACATTTGCCAAAACCCAGAGACCCTCAGGAGGCCCAGCAGCAGGGCCAGAGCTCCAGAAGCCCTCCTGCCGTTGCCCCCCCAAGCACCATGAAGACAGAGCATCAAAGTGTTCCATCAATCCCTTGTGGCTAATAGCCACTGATGGACCTCTGCTCCATATGTTCAATTCCCTCTTGAAGATGTCTATGCTTGTAGCCACCGCCACCACCACTTCCTGCGGTACTGAATTCCCCATGTGAATTACTCTTTGTGTGAAGAAGTACTTCCTTTTATCTGGTCACACACTCTTAGCCTAGCCCACCTCACGGGTTTGTTGTGAGGATAAAATGGAAGAGAGGAGAATGACGTAAGCTGCTTTGGCTCCCCATTGGGGAGAAAGGCTGGGTAGAAGTTAAGTGAATAGTAAATAAGAGGCAGAGCTGGAGGTACCAGGATAGAGCAGGTAGAGAAAGAGGTACTTTTCTCCCTTTCTCACAATACAAGAACTTGTGGGCACTCCATGAAATTAGAACAGATTAAAGGAAGTACTTCTTCACCCAAAGAGTGATTAACACTTGGAATTCACTGCCACAGGACGTGGTGGCAGCTTCAAGAGGGAATTGAATAAACATATGGAGCAGAGGTCCATCAGTGGCTATTAGCCACAAGGTATGGATAAGGACTCTCAGTCTGGGGCAAGGGATGCTCTGTATTCTTGGTGCTTGGGAAGGGGGGTCAACAGTGGGAGGGCTTCTAGTGTCCTGGCCCCACTGGTGGACCTCCTGATGGCACCTGGTATTTTTGGCCACTGTGTGACACAGAGTGTTGGACTGGATGGGCCATTGGCCTGACCCAACATTGGCTTCTCTTATGTTCTTATGACTCTTAAGCCACCTGCAAGTCCACTCCTTCTTTTTAAGACCCCAAAAAGGCCTGCAACTTCTTAAAAGATGGAGTTTGTCACAAATCTGCCTGAGGTTTGTGTGTGTGTGTGTGTGTGTGTGTGTGTGTGAGTGAGTGTTTTCTTTGGTGCCACCACCCCAAACTAAAGCCAGCCAACCATGTTTACCAGTGGTTTGGGGAACACTAGGAAAGGCTGACTCTAGGCATGTACAAATGGCAGAGTTTCCCAATTACATCAGCCCTTCCCTTGTGTGCATGAGCGAGGGCTAATGTGGGGGGAAGTATCTGAAGCACAGCCTGCTCTCTTAAACAGGGAAGTCTTTGTTAACTACAGCTTATCAAACTAGAACACAAGACGAGGGGAAAATGACTATAATGCATATTAGCTACAGGAGAAGAGCAGGAGAAATCATATCTCTAAGCTCACCTCAACAGTACAGAAGTTACCTCTGCATCTCCCTCCGTGGATGCTTGGGAAGCTAATGCTGATTCTGACTCCCCACCTGCCCCATGCGGGGGATCCGATCCCCCTAGCATTGGAACACCATTAACTGGTTGTTCAGACCTTTAGAACTCCTCCTGCCCCATCTGACTGGAAGTTCCTTACCTAATCCAGAGTTGGGGAGTCTGCTCCTTTGTGGGATTGTGAACCTCTGTCCCTCAGTCATCAGAGAGCACACATCCCACCCGCCTCAATACCCAGCTAATGATTTAACAGCAGCTATCCATATTGGCCTTCCTGGAAGATATAACAAATGGGCATTTCTTCACAGAAATGCATCTCTTGGTGCATTTTATGGCTCTCTGGGAAAGAAAGCTGCTCCCAGGGCCTCCCCTAGAGAGCTTCAAAGTGCACCTTACATCTCTGGATCCATGACAGGGTTGGCACCTCCAGGCTTTCTCATATGCAACAGACCCTGGATCAAGCCGCTAAATGGTCATGTCAGCATTTCCCTTGGAGCAAGATGTCTGCATACTCTTGATATAGGTGTTCTGGGAGGCAGTTCTTGGTGTAAGGGTGGAGAAGAACAGGAGACTTTTACAACATGGAAGCTAATGCAGCTCTTGGAGGGGAGGGGAGGGCCAGGGCCAGTTTGGAAGTGTGTGGACTCTAATCTGGGAGAACCGGGTTTGATTCCCCACTCCTCTGCATGCAGCTGCTGGATGACCTTGGGCAAGCCGTAGCTCTGTCAGAGCTGTTCTCTCAAGGACAGTTCTGGAAAGAGCTCTCTCAGCCCCACCTGCCTCACAGGGTGTCTATTGTGGGGAGGGGAAGGGAAAGCCGCTCTGAGATTCCGAGTGAAGGGTGGGGTATAAATCCAATCTCTTCTCCTTCTCCTTCTTGGCATAGGAGAAAGAAAAGGGTAGGGCTGTGGGGGGTGGATGGGCTTTGAAGCCAACAGTGAAGAATTTGCTCTGCAATGAGGAGAGGGAGTAAGGAAGCTTGTGTAAGTATTTAAGGAGGGAGCTTTGCATGGTTGATGTGAAAAACACAATATAATCCATTCCTTCGGTTGGGCAAGAATCTCACCTGAAAAGCTATAGGGCTACATCTTTCCTCTTTCGGCATGGTCCCCTGATCCTTCCCTGTTTGACCCCCTACCCTTCTTCCCAGTCCATTTATTATAAGTGAGGTTTCTCTGATTTCAGTGCTTTGCATAGTGCTTTTTGGTCTGGTGAAGTGAAATAAGCATGAAGAAGCTGGAAGCTGCAAAGATTTATGGCCTGGGCTTGCTTTCTTGGTTTTTAGAGAGATCTTCCCAAGGTAGCTATCAATGAAATAACCTTGATTTTATTCCTCTTTCAGGCAGTATGGGCTGGTTGGGGCCATGCCTCTGAGAATCCCAAATTACCAGAACTTCTCCACAAAAATGGAATTGCCTTTATGGGTAAGGAAGCAAAATATTTATGGGGAAGGGGGGAATTTGGGAAAGCCAAAGCCATCATAAGCAGTAGAGGGAATATCTCCGTCGGCCTCCAGGTAGAGCCCAAAGGATTTCTCCGTGTCTCACAGACCTCATCCCATAGTTACAATCTGTCGTGAAAGAAAAGTTCTGAAATTATGTAAAGAGATCGTCCTGCGGTAAAAGGCTGACTAAGCCAGGACCATGGGGCCCAGTAGGATGTATCTGTTTCTCTCTTCCTGGGCACTACCAGTTGGCGCACACAGACGTGGTTTAAAGTGGTGGATCACACTAAGGATCTGCCTGTTATCTGCCTAGTGCAGTATTCCGGACTCTGTTCAGATGTCCTGGGAAGGTTTGAACCAGGCCAAGATGGAGGTCGCCATCCCCTCTTCCCACCAAAGAATCTAGTTCCCTAAGAATATCTGAGATTGTTGTGTCTCTTTTGCCTTCTGGAAGGGGGTGGATTTGGCCTCAGTCTTCTGTGCTTGTTCTTCCTCTTCGTAGGTCCACCAAGCCAAGCAATGTGGGCTTTAGGAGATAAAATTGCTTCGTCGATAGTGGCTCAAACTGCAGGAATCCCTACGCTTCCGTGGAGTGGCAGTGGTAAGTCGGCCACGCTTTCTGGCCCTGTTTCTTGCAGCCGTTGCCTAAGATTCTAAACCCAAGATGTAGTGCAGCATCGTGGCTATAAGAGTGTACTGTGAACACAGTACTGTGAAACAAGAGGTCTCCAGCTTGTTGGCTTGAAAAGCATTTTTCTCCTGATATTAAGCCCCAGCTTAAAAATAAGGACCATGGTATATCTAAAAATTGCAGCAAAAATTCCAAACAGTAAAACAAGCACAAATGCTGTTAGACACCTAATTTGCCAGCATAATAAATGGATTGCAGTAGCAGCTGAGCTCTCTAATTTTGAAGAAGACGATGAGATTAGATTTATACACCACCCTTCAATACCTGAAAGAGTCTCAGAGCGGCTCATGAGCTCTTTTCCCTTCCCCTCTGCACAGCAGACACCCTGTGAGGTAGGTGTCTAAGGGAGCGGTGGCGCAGGCAGTACAACGCCTGCAGTAACAACGATAGTGAACAGCCACAATGGCTGTTCGAGACCCACTGCGGCTGGAGTGAGCTCCTGGCCCTAGTCCCAGCTCTCGCCCACCCAGCGGCTCGAAAGCATTTGCAAGCAGACAAATGGGTACCTGCCCTAGGTGGCAGGGGGCACCCTCCTCCTGGTTGTGTGCCGGGAGTGCTGGTGGCGCTAACAACAATGGCAGCGGAGCAACTGGCGACCCAAGGATGCAGCGACCGAACCGGATGGAGGCGGAGTTGAGGCGACGCGACGGCGAGACGACGCAGCACGGCAGGAGCCTAAGGGACAGAAGCCGGAAGCTGCAGTCAGAAGCGGTCGCGCGTCGGAGGAGCCCACCAGAAGCCTCCCGGAGGTAGTCGCCAGCCAGCCTGAGGCGCCGGGAACAGCATCTGAAGCCCGCCCGGGAAATCAGCAAAACAGGAGAGAACGCGCCGCTTTGGTGTAGGTAGGCAGCCTCTCCCCCTTCGAATTTGTGGCCCTAGGTTAGGATAACAACTACATAAGTAGTATATCTGTAAACCACTCTGAGACCCCCTAAGGGTCAAAGGCGGTATATAAATCGAATTGTAAAGTAAAGTAAAGGTGGGGCTGAGAGAGCTCTTTTGAGGACTGCTCTTGAGAGAACAGCTCTGAGAGAACTTTTGATTGATCCAAGATCACCCAGCAGCTGCATGTGGAGGAGCGGGGAATCAAAACTTGGTTCTCCCAGATTAGAGTCTGTGCTCCTAACCACTACATTAAACTGACAGCATAACCGTGACAAAAACATTAACTGCCGATGGTTTCACATACATTTCCTTAGTAATCTTCAGAACAACCCTGGAATGTAGGTCAGTATTATTGTCCTGGGGCACTGAGGCCAAGAGCCAGCTGGTCTAAGGCTACCTAGTAAGGTTGTGGCTGAAGCAGGATTTTAAATAGGGGCATCCTTAGCCAGGACACCACACTGCAGCACAGTGTTACCAACTTGGTACTTAGAAGCAGTGCTGTAGCCTCAACTTCAAGCTTTCTGAAAGAGGACCATCCTCAGCATTCATCAAAATACTGCTAAGAAGAGGGCCTTCCCTCCAGAATGCATTTCAGGGTTATCATGTAGCTTTCAAGGCGGGCCTCTGCCTCATGTGCCCCCCCCTCCCAACAACAACAACATTACAGTTGGTTGGGGCACACCAAGACGGAGCTCCAATGAAGGACCTCCATGAATCAGAAAGTCAGTAGGGAAAATGTGATCCTCAAGATCCTGTGGCCCCAGACTGCTAAGTGCTGTTTACTTTGGGCCAAAAAAGTGCTGTAGACAAGACAGGATAGGAGTTGGGTATTCCTGGTGGGGTCATTGCCCAACGGAATGCTTGGCACAACCTCACTTTTGCCTCACTGCAGATTCTGGGCATTCTGCAAATGCAGCATCTTACAGAGTGGGCTACAATAGTGTAGTCTGGATAGTAAAGGTAAAGGTTTCCCTTGCTCGAAAGCTAGTTGAATCTGACTCTAGGGGGCGATGCTCATCTCCATTTCCAAGCCGAAGAGCCAGCGCTGTCCGAAGACATTTATGTGGTCATGTGGCTGGCATGACTAAACGCTGAGGCGCACAGGACGCTGTTACCTTCCCACAAAAGCAGCACCTATCTATCTACTTTCAATTTCTTGCTTTTGAACTACTAGGTTGACAGGAGATGGGGCCAGAGACAGGAGCTCATTCCGTCACACGGCACTCGGGTCTCGAACTGCTGAACTACAGACCTTCCGGTCTGCAGCTCAGCGCCTTAATCTCTGAGCCACCGTGGTCCCAGTCTGGATATTATGCTGGTACAAATAACCGGGTCCCCCCATCTAGGAGCATGTGCAGCTGCCTGGCCTACCAATCAGCCAGCCCACCACTCTCATCCAGCAGTGGGCCCAGGAATAATAACCCCCCAAGCGGCCATTCTGGGTTTTCAAAGAAGGTACAACACATCCTTCCCAAGGTCAGTCTTCTTTCTGACCAGCAGTAACTGTTACTCTCTTCAGTCTCAAATTTATGAACCCTTACTATCTCTAGTATCAGCTTCCCACAGGAATAAACAACTTTTAAAGGGGATTAGATAGATTCATGGAGGAGAAGTCTGTCAGTGCCTACTAGCTATGGTGACTGAGGGGAACCTTCACATTCAGAGGCACTAAGCCTCTGAACCCCAGAGCCAGGTGGAGGTGCCCCTCTTTCAAATCCTGCTTCAGCCACAACCTTTCTAGGGATAGACTTAGGTGAGCTGCTCTTGGCTTCAGTGCCCCTGGATAATAATATTGTCCCCAATACTGTTGTATCTTAACAAGGCAAATGTATGTGAAACACTTGGACTCTATCAATGGCCTATGTCTTGGCCAAACACTTGGACTATATCATTGGCCTGTGTGTTTTATTTAGCAGTTGCAAATGCCTATAACGGGTGTCAAACACATAGCCTGGGGGCCGAAATTGACTCATCCTGGGCTCTTACCCAGAGCGCGAGCAACTGGTATGAGAAAGGGAAGGCAGGACTTCCGGTTGATGGCGGCACGCTCACGGACTCACCTCCCGGACCTCCCGGGGTGTCTCCATGCTCCGGCGGAGGGAGGGGGTGAGCAGGCTCGTTAACCCCCCCAGGGGCCCGGCGAAGGGTCCCTGGCCAAGGAGCTTTGAGGGGGTAGCCTCTTCGATGGCTGAATGCCAGAGAATAGAGGCTCCCCCTTGCTCCAGTGGTTTATCCAGCCGAGAGACTGAATGGTACAAGTGAAGCTAGCCGGGTCAAGCGTAGGAGATCGGGTGTCAGAAATGATTAATGTAGCGGAGTCGGAAGACCAACTATGAATGTGAGTCAACTGAGATAAGATTTTAAAAAGAAAAGACGCTCCCTACCCAACACGGCGGAACGGCAGAAGCGAGTGGGGGAGGGACGCCTTTTATGCGTAAATCACTGAGCGAAAGGGAGGGAGGAGCGGAAGAATAAACGTGTGATTGCCCAGAAGTACTCACCCAATCGAGCTATTCAGTTAAGCGCATATTCAGAGACTTTAAAAAAGTTTTTGTGAAAGTAAACAAACAGGGAAAAGATGGCGGGGAAGAGGGACAGAGACAAAGAGAAACTTTTAAAAACGAAACCAGAGTCCCCGAGATCGGAAACGACCAGTGAGACGACCAAGGCGATGGCTGAGGTCATGCGCCCTCTACTGGAACAGCTCTATGTCTTTAAAGAGCCGATGTCGGTGGTAACAGCGAATATAACAGCGCAGCAAAAGCAGCTTGCAGTTGTAACAACAAGCATCACTGCTCAACAAACGCAAATAACGGACTTGATCCAAGTAATGAAGCAGGATGCGGAGAAAGTAAAGGAAATGGCTAAGACAACACAGAAAGTGAGGAAGAAAGTGCAAAAATTGGAAAAGAAAACTGTTTCTTTGGAAGATCAGATGCTGCAAGTGCAAATGGATAAGGCCAACATGGTCCTGTGCTTCCAAGGGGTGCCAGAGAATAGAGGAGAGAATCTTAAAGAACTGATGAGTGAGCTACTCGCCCCAGCAACAGATATAAAGGCGGAATTGTTACTCAACGACATGGATGTGGCCTACAGGTCATATTCAGGATATATAAAGAAAAATAATCTGCCTGGGGAAATTGTAGTAAGATTCTCGAAGAGGCACATCAGGGATGCTATCCTGAAAGCAGTGGCTGTGACAACCCTGAAGGTGGGAGAGCATATGGTCAGAATGCTAAAGGATATTCCAGTAAGGCAACGGCGAAAGAAATACAAAGAACTTGTGCTCTTCCTCCAAACAAATTCAATTGGATACAAATGGCTATTTCCAGAAGGAGTAGCATTTAAGATCAAAGAGAAGAAGGTTAAGATTGACTCTGTTCTTAAAGCTCAAGAATTTCTAAAGGAGCAGCTGGGAAGGTCAAAGGAAGAGAAAAAAGAAGAAGATAGCAGGTCCAGCGGCGAGCTGGAAACTGGTTCATCTGGCGAGGACTCTTTGTCTGAGCAGCAGCCCCGAAAAGTCCCTACAAACTGCGGAAAAGAGAGAAGACGTAGTAAAGGTTGAAGGACTCTGAGTTGTGCCTTTGAGAACATTGGTTCCAGGGGATGATGGGGGGCACTGTTATTGGGCGATTAAATGTAAATGGGGAGGGTTAAAAGTTCTAAAAGATTGACACAGTTCATAAGAAGTACAAAGATTATAAGTTTGGATGCTAAAAAAAAAGCTAGTTAGAGGATCTCCTCTCTTGGGTTTTTAGTCAGTAGTGGGTTCTTTACTTTCTCCCTTATATGTCGTTTTTCCCTCCCCCTTTTCTGTTTTAGTTTTTTTTAGTGTTAAAAAAAAAAAAAAAAAAAAAACCCCCCCGGGGGCTCAAAAAAAAAAAAAAGAGAAAGGGAAGGCAGGAGACTGATCAGGAGGAATGGGTATGTGGGCACATACAATGAGGTATGTGTGGTAGAAGCTGTCAAGAAATGAAAGGAAACGGCTTTTGTGGATTTATTTACATTTATTGGGGCTTTTGTGGATTCCCCAGTAAATCAATTGCTTTCACTTTTAGGAATCAATTTTGTTTGTATGTTGAGTAAGAAATAATATTGTTAATTGGGTTTGCCTGTGTCATTTATAAAGTTTATATCTCCAGTACCTGGCATTTAATTTTATGGCAGACATGGCGCGGCCTGACGAAGTAATTTGTATGTCAGATCTGGCTCTCCTAACATACGAGTTTAACACTCGTATATATAAGGTTGTTATGGCTATGCTAATTCATCCCACCCCATCCCACGTAGTCATGGCTTGTAGACATGGTTCCCCCCTGCCACGTTTTATTTTTGCAATGTGATGTAATCCAAGGTCTGCCCAGCGAGTATCATGGTTAAGTAGAAATTTGAACGCAGGTCTTCAAAAGTCCTACTGTGACACTCCAACCACTATTTGGGACTTCAGAATCATGTGTCGGTTCAAATGGCTGCAGGGTTTGAGTGACAAGGTTCAGGTTCCGGTGGTGAAATCACATTTGAATTCTGACACCTACCTGCACATGCCTGAGATTTTGAAATCGAGGATGTCAGTTTTGTAATGACATAGGGCTGAGCCGAAACGCTGTGGTGGTGGGGTATTTCAAAAAGAGCTGCCCTCTCCTGTGAATGAATCACTGGCTTGGTTATTTGAGCGAGGGGAGTGGCTTGTGGAAAGGCACAAAACCATTAGCCCGTTTAGAGAGACGGCTGGAAGTAGTGACCTCGCTCGGATTGGCTTTGTGATGGCTTGCCTTGAGTAGAAGCCTCTCTTCTAAAATGGCAGCAAGCAGCATGGGGGGGGGAGCACCTGTGAACAGCTAAGCTGTGTGAAAGCTGCCCTCCCTCACTATGTTTGTGGCTGAAAATTTGGCACAATAGTAGTACTTTGTAGGAAATATTATGGACCGTGTTAAGGCAAAATAGCAATAACTCCTATCCATTTTTTAAGGAATAAAGTAGCTTTAAAAACATTTATAGTATTCTGTTTTTGGTAAATAATTTGTTTAGACTTTTCGGAAGTTTTTGTTGTCATGATTTTATGTATTCATGTACTACATTTATACCTCCACCTTTCTCCCCAGTAGGGACCCAGACTGGTTTACATCATTCTCCTCTCCTCAGTTTTATCCTAGCAGCAACCCTGTGAGGGAGGTTAGGTCGAGAGTGTGTGACTGGGCCAAGGTCACTCAGTGAGCTTCAGCAGTAATTCGAACCCTAGTCTGACACTCCAACCACTACACTGTACCCACTCTCGTGGTGTTTGTATATGGTTAATAAATACTGCTGGTGAATTTGAGTGTTCTTATGAGGCACAAATCAGCCCAGACTGAGCATTTCCCAAGCCCACTGACTTGAGAGGAGAGAATTTGAAGCTGCTCAGATCTTACAACGTGATTTTTTCCCACTGAGCCTGTTTTTAAGTCTCCCCACTGCAATCAGATTTTCTTATCCTCCATGGTCCTCTTGCCTGCCTTCTGTTCTCCCAACAACTCTGAGAGGCAGACCTGCCTGAGGGGGATGACTGGCTCAACGTTGATGAGGCCTGCTTCATTCCATTGTGAGGATTTGAACCTGGGCCCTTCTGGCCATCACAGCGCACACTCTTAAATACACTGTCCACAACATGCTTTACTTGGGTGCCATATTGTGCTCAAAATTTGTAAACTGTCCCCCCCCCCCCGTAAGCCTGCCTATTTTAAAAACGTGGTAGTCATGACTGTAGAAAACACATCTTGTCGGCGCTGAAAGAATTCTGCTGACCTGGCTGGTCCAATCTCATCGGATCTCGGAAGCAGAGCGGGGTCGGCCCAGGTTAGTGTTTGGATAGGAGACCACCAAGGAAGCCCAGGGTCACTACCCAGAGGCAGGCCATGGCAAACCGCCTCTGAACGTCTCTTGCCTTGGAATCCCTACAGGGTCACAATAGGTCAGCTGCGACTTGATTTATTTATTTATTTATCATTACACTTATATCCTGCCCTCCCCACGGACGGGCTCAGGGCGGCTTACAAATAAGTGCAGCATGTGCCAATAAAACAATAAAATCACACATAAAAACAACCATTGTTAACAATAATAAACAATAATAAAGTGCTCAAAGAGGTTATCAATTTAGTCAAATCAAGATGGTGACCTATAAATATACCCAAAAGCCTACGTCAGCGGCGTCGACTCATCTCAGTACTGTTGCAAGATCGTTATAATGGGCCATCCCGTTACCCCATTGTTGCCACAGAATAGTTGTTGTTGGTGGTAGTGGCGGCTCCTAATTGAAACCCTGACGGAAGAGCTCCGTCTTGCAGGCCCTGCGGAACTGTGAAAGGTCCCGCAGGGCCCTGATCTCCTCTGGGAGCTCATTCCACCAGGTAGGAGCCGCCACTGAAAAGGCCTTGGCCCTGGTTGCCGCAAGCCTGGCCTCCCTGCGGCCTGGGATCACTAGACCATGTTGGGCCCCTGACCGTAGTGCTCACTGGGGTATGTATGGGGAAAGGCGATCCTAAAGCTGTGGAAAGGCTGAAGGCCAAAGATTCTCCTTGGGAATAAAAGCTTGACTGATAATGGCTCTCTGTGCCCCTAAACTGTCGCCTGAAACCTTATTACTCTGTGAGCCCAGCAAATTCTGTGTGTTGTATATAGTTTCAAGTCTCTTTATTGTATAGTCTTATTTCATTTTAGGAAGTTAGGGTTTTTTTTCTGGCTTACCTCAAGCCTCATCTGGAATTACTGCTTTCAGAATCCACTTAGGACCTGTCTTGTCAGGTGTATAGGTTAGGGTAGAGGCCCTACGGGTCAAACTACAGAGCACACTACCTCTTTTTAACGGCCTTCACACTGTCCCATAATCATCTGCCTGGCATCAAGCCTGACTTATATCTTCTTAAAAAAAACTGTTTCACTGCTGGTTTTTTAGTTCTATGCTGAGTGGGTTTTATTGTAATTTCTTGGTTGTGGGCCTTAATTTGCAAACCAACTCAGGAACTGTATTGAGCGAGCGGTGTATGAATCAATAAACGATTTTTGTTGCAGATAATACACACAGATTTGAGACTTTACTGACATCATTTTGGATTTCAGGTCTGCGGGTGGATTGGCAAGAGGGCGACTTCCAGAAGCGCATCCTCAATGTCCCCCAGGAATTGTACGAGAAGGGCTGTGTGACGGATGTGGACCACGGACTGAGGGTAGGCCTTGCTCCCAGGATACTCTTGTGCTGCTGAACTTTAACTTTTGACAGTCCAACCATCAGTGTTTACATTTCTGTCTGAACTGTGAACCTGCTCTTGGCACTCAATTAGATACAATGGTGGCAGGGTGCTTCTAGCTGAGAGCCATTATTAATTTCCATTGGATTTGTCACCATCATCCCAACCAAGTCTGGAAAGAGCAGCTGTTTTGTTCCCATAACATATCCCTGTTGGGTTTCAGGAGAGTGTCGCTGATATATTACTGTCTTTCCCTTGATGTGCTTGGCTCCCAATCTGTGCACGTGATTCTGTACCTCCAGTTGGAACTGGTAGTGGTGGTGGAAAAGACAGTAATATTAGAAAGGTGGGAGAGATCAAACTCCAAGAAGTTTTGGAAACTTTACTGCAGATAGGGTTCTGGGATGTATCTTCATTAAAGCAGATGCCTCAGTGATGGAGGTTCATCCGGCTGCTTCTCTTGGCTGGTCCACAAAAACCATGTACGCATTCTGCAGGGTGAGAAACTCCCAGTGGGCCATAAATTCAAGAGGTTGGGGCTTTATTTTGCCCATGGGTCTATATAGAGTTCCATTTTTGGAGGAGCTCTGCTAGTTAAGAAATTAATTTCTGGGCTCAGTTCAAAGTGCTGCTTTTTTTGTGGCAGAGCAAATAAAGAAGGTCCAGGGTTCAAAGCTTGGCAAT